CCCACTATGAAAGCGACATGTTTTCACCTTTGCATTCAGTTTCATTGTGACTGTCACTGTAGGGAGGAACCTCTGCTTTTTCTCCCTCTGAGATACAGAATTATTCCTTCATTTCCTTCTTTTTTGCTTATTCCTTTCCACTTTTTGCCAAGAATATTCATGGACATGTCTATGTAATCAGTGTTAATTTATCTAATTTCAGGGACCATTATCTCATATCAGTTAAAAGTGGGTAGACCAATGGATAACTTCACTTGTTTCAGTACATCTGTGGTGCAGCAGGCAGTTTTTGAAAACAATTGGGAAACAAATTACCATTGTTAATTGGCATATCCATAGCCACCTCTGTCTTGGAGTGGAATTGTATAATAGATATGTGTTTTCATTATCAGCCTTTTACCAGCACATAATAAAGTTGCTCATCCCAGGTACAGGTTGCATTGTAAAAGCAGGCTTTCATGGAGATAGATGCTGTGAACAGTGTTTTCAACTCTCATGAGCAACTCTTGCTCTATTTCTGGACTGTCCATCTTGTTACTAACTGCTAAATTTGCCTTTCAATTGAGGAAATCATCAAACTATTTCAGTTTCTATTAGTTTGGTTATTACATCGAGTTTCATGTATATAGAGCTACCTTTGACATTAACATGGCTATTACTACTTTGATATCATTTATTTCAGTGCCACTCTCGGCTTTGGAGCGTATTAGGCAAACAATTCCCTAGATACCAATCAATTGTTATGGATTAGTTAATGGGATGTAGATATTCAAAATTAAGCAGACAAATTCCTTGTGTCTAAAATTGATTGATGAATTGTGTACCATCAAGTTAGTATTGACTCTTAGCGACCACATAGATAGATTTTATCTCTTCCTAAACTTCACGTCTTCCAACCATACACTCATCACAACTGAAACTTAGTCCATCAGCTGTGTTGCTGGTAATCCTCCTTTTCATTCTGCTTCTACCTTTCCCAGTGTTACAGCCTTCTTGAAAGAGCTAGTCTTTAGATAATGAGTCCAAAGTAGGAAAATTTAAGCCTAATCATTTGTGCCTTGAGGGAGAATTTTGGGTTAATTTGTTTGATGATCCATTCATTTTGACTCTGCAGACTATTCCGGAATCCAAGGCTGTTGTAGAATATATGTGGAACAGCCTTGACATTTATTTGAGTATATACAAATATTTCATTTTCAGCAATGCTTATTTATTTATGTGTTTGTTTGTTCATTCATTCATTCAATTTCTATAGCTGCCCATCTCAATCAATGGCTCTAAGCAGCTTAACATTCAAAAAGAAAAAAATATGATAATTAAAAATATTTTAAAAAAACATTTTAAAACAATAAAAATGATAAAAAATACTAAAAATATCCCGATTGAATATCAGAACAAGATACTTTGACCAGTTAGTAATACAGCCAGGAAACAGGACATTAACACATTCCTAACATATATGATTACATATTTTGTTTGTTCTTTAGACACATTTTTGAGGTATGAGTGTGTGGGTGTGCATGTGTTTATTAGTCCAAGAAAGCCTGGTTAAATGTATGGAAACAAAAGCAAATTTGGTAGCTTTTGTTATAGCAGTTTTAATATACCTAGGATGTAGTACCATATTGTTAAGCATATAGTTTTGATATACTTAGGATGTAGTACCATATTCACCAATCCTCCGTGAGCTGCGCTGGCTACCTGTTGATCGTCGGGTGCACTTCAAGGTCTTACTTACCACCTATAAAGCGCTCCATGGTAGTGGATCTGACTATTTGAGAGACCGCCTCCTGCCAATTACCTCCCTGCGTCCCATCAGATCGCACAGAGTAGGCCTCCTCCGAATTCCATCCGCCAGTCAGTGCCGACTGGCGACTACGCGGAGGAGAGCCTTCTCAGTTGCAGCTCCGACATTATGGAACAACCTCCCCGTGGAGATCCGTACCCTCACCACAGTCCAGGCCTTCCGCACAGCCCTTAAGAACTGGCTATCCCGTCAGGCCTGGGGATAGGATTACTCTCACCCCGCCCGAATGTTGAGTGAATGTTGTGTTTTTATGATCAATTTTCTTTTAATCACGATTCTTTTCTTTTTAAGTCTTGTCTTGCACTCCCTTCCCTTCATTGTTGTAAGCCGCCCTGAGTCCCCTCAGGGAAAAGGGCGGCATATAAATTTCCAATAAAATCAAATCAATCAAATATTGTTAAGCATGCCAGTGATGGGGAATGGGGATAAGAGAAATGTGTGTTTCATAACAAAAGTAGGGAGGCATGTTTATTTGAAATGTTAAGAGTGCATAAGACTATTAAATCTAGAATCTCAGATTAGTTACAGTAGCTGCAGCACTCCTTGTGGAAGAGAAAATTATATTTGATCATGACCATGTCCTGCCATATAGTACACCACAGCCTTTTTTCTTTTCAGAGTTTTATTTGTAAATAGTATATATAATGCATTCCTAAGTAATCTGTTGTCTCACATTCATGTTTATCCATGATACATGCTTTAATTCTTTCTTTAATGAATACAGTGCACATAACTTTACTAACTACCATGTTTCCCCGAAAATATGACAGGGTCTTATTTTATTTTTACCTACAAAATATGGCTTGGGCTTATTATGGGGGGAGGGTTTATTGTTTTGGGGTTGCCAGGCGGCTGCTCTCTGGGGAGCGGGCTCCCAAAGAGCCGGGCACAGCCTCATGGGCGAATGGCTGTGTTGCGCTGCTGCAACAGCGCAACACAACAGCCATGAAGCGACCAAGCTCACAACCAGCCACTCAGCAAACCCCCTTTGCAGCCAGGCACAGTGCCATTCACTGACCTAGGGGTATCGCCAAGCCGCGTGAGCGCCTGTTCGCCACCGCCCAGCTCCCGCGGCTTTGCGCCTTCCAAATGCCAGTGAATGGCGCTCTGCATGGCTGGAGAGGGGGATTGCACGAGCGGCTGTTCTGCTCTCGCTCACCCACCTCCCGGCCTCACGATGCATGGCCCAGCTCTCATTACGGAGCCAGGGCACTGGCTTTTTCTGCGGCTTCCAACCCGAGTCTTTCGGCAGTAGCCGCTGTGGGCGCATGCTCTATGGTTGTACGCTCTGCAGGCAGCTGGCAGCGAACAGGCACTCACACGGCTTGGCGATACCCCTAGATCAGTGAATGGCGCTGTGCCCGGCTACAAAGGGGGTTTGCTGGGTGGCTGCTCGTGAGTTTAGTCGCTTTATGGCTGTTATGTTGCACGGCTGCGACAGCACAACACAGCCATTCACCCCTGAGGCCGTGCCCGGCTCTTTGGTAGCCCACTCGCATAGCGCTGCTCACCAACCTAGTGGTATCTTGAAGGTGCCAAGCAACGCGATCACCTTTGCCTCCCCCCAGGTTCCCGCGGCTTGGCACCTTTGGGATACTGCTAGGTTGGTGAGCGGTGCTCTGCCTGGATAGAGGTGGGGGGTTGTCCAGGGAGTTTATATGTGGGGGGGCTTATATTTTTGCCCACCAGAAAAATGTGGCATAGCTGTATTATGAGGACATGTCATATTTTTGGGAAAACACAGTAGTTTTCCTTAATATTCTTTTTAAAGTAAAATATAAGATATAATTATATAAAAGTGATGATACAACATTGTACATTCATACATAGTTTTATACTTCTGTCCAATTACTATATAAATCCAAATAACAATAAACTTTTTATATCAGTTTCATATACACATACACACATACACACACACACAGACTATATGATGTTCACCCAGATCTGTGTTGAGGGAGAATCACTTCATTGCTCTTACCATATTTTGTCTTTATCTTTTATGTTTTATTGCAATTCATTTAATTTTTGTAAGCTGCCCAGAGTTTTTGAGAGTGGAAGAGTATACAAATTTCATTATTAATGGCAGGGACTGGCTGCACATGCGGTTAAATATTTTAGGGGAGGGCTTATTTTAGCGCATGCACTCAAAAGCTCGATTGGGCTTATTATCCAGGGAGGTCTTATTTTCAGGAAAGCAGGGCAACATAAGCAAAATAATATGCATTAGTATATTTTTCTTGTTTCGTCTATTTTGCATTCTTCTACATAGACACATTAATTTATCATTTAAAGAAATCACAAAGGGTAACTGATTCATTAGTTATACTGCTTTTGAATTAAAAAATGTATCATATTTAGGTGATATTAAATTCAAGGATTCCTGAGTCCTCTTTTAAGGTTCACACTTAATTTGTTCATATTTCCTATTCTTTTAATGAAAAAAGTTTGCCTTGTTATCCAATACAGAAGAACTGGAGAGCTAATTTGTTTTATTAGTTAAGGCACCAGACTAGAAGCCAGGAACCTGTGAGTTCTAGTCCCGTTTTAGGCATGAAAGCTCAAAGTGACTTTGAGCCAGTCACTTTCTCTCAGCCCAATTCACCTCACAGGGTTGTTGTTGTGGGGAAAATAGGAGGAGGAAGGAGTAATTGCATGAGTTCACCACCTTGAATTATTTATAAAATAATAAAGGTGGGATATAAATAAATAAGCAAGCAAACATTGTTTAACTGCAGCAAGCAAGTCTCATTGCAAAACACCAATTTTTTTTGTAAAGCAAAAATGTGAATTTGACTTTAATCCAATGTACTGATTTGCTTACAAAATATTTCTACTATTTGGTGCGGTCTATTCATTTGGAACAGTCTGTTTTGTTTTGTATTTGTGGCATATTTCATTGAAAGATACTGCCTCATTCCATGTGTAGGTTTTATGGGGGCAACTCTCCTAAGAAAATTAATTACAGGTAAGTGGTGTCGTTTTGTGAATAGAGATGGAATATTACAATAGTAAATGCTCTGTGCTTTTCAAACCTTTCTCAAATCTCAGAAAATGTTTGCATCTGGGAATGAGCAAAGGTTCTGACCAGTTCTTATTATGCTATAAGCACATCATCATCCCTTAACTGATCTGCTTTTCCTTGAATCTGGGAGTCAGAAATCCCTTTTTCTCTTCTGTTTTTCTGCTGCAGAAATTCCCAACATTCCCATTTTGTGGGCTCCAGAGAGGGGTAAGCAATATCTTCAATCCCAGCCAATGATTTCTAATCCAGTTCATTGCTAGTATTTTTGTTTGTTTTATTTTGGCATCATTTATCAAAAACAATTTTAGATGCGTACTCATTTTTAAAATTTCCTTGTGGAGTCACATGTTCTTAATTTTGTTCATTGGAGGATCCCCAGATCTCCATCAGGCTTAAGGCTTAGCCTCATCTCCATTTGTGTTCTGTATTCTTGTGAATTTTCATATAGCTATGTTGCCCTATATTATTTATTAGAACAAGAGCATCCAAATTCTGGGGTTCTTTTACTTACAGTAATCTTAGTTACCAGAATAATAGTGTATTAACAGCCCCAATCAAGAGCTTTGTTTTTCTTCCTTGGCAGCTGCTTTTTCTAATCATACATGGGCATGGCCCATTCAGTCTTTGCTTTTTAAAAAAATGATATGGCTCTCATTGCTTTCTTTCTGCTTTGCCTACTTGCTGGCTACCTGGCATTGCAATGCACTGTTTGCTGCTTGATTGCCTGGAATTGGTCTTCTTTACCTTTGATTGTAGTATTCACTTAACATTTTGCCCATGAGTTCTGGCTGCCACTTGTATGTGACTATTGATGGATACTCCCAGTTACCTCTTGTCAAACCTTTCCCCTCTTTTCACTGTTTCCAATGATATTATGCATCTGCTGACTTCATTGAATTGCCGTCCTGAAGATTTGTGCATCTGCTAATTGATCCTGCTCTGTCAATTTGCTATGTCTGCCTTTTTTTTCTTGCCTTGTCTGTTTGACCACTAGCTTATGTTGATCACATGATACCTTAGAATTTGACTGCACATTACTACTGCCATTTCTATGCAATCCCAATCATTTGCCAATTGTGTGCTCTTTCTTGTTTATATACTGCTTACTCTTCCATCAAAAAATTTAAAATGTGAAGAAGAGAAAAATGTTTTGATCTGGCTCCAGTTTACCCTTATTCAGTACCATATGCTTGGATTTTTAGAATGTATCTTTATTTATATTTTAATCAGAATATTACCCTTACAAAGTTTAGAGTAGATCTTCTACTGTATAGCTTTTTCTTTGCTAAGTTTACTGATAAGACTATCTATAAGGATTTGCAGCAGGGAGATTTGATGTTTAGAAATAGAGCAAAGTGAAAATGCTTTCCACTGGGCTGTATTAAAAAAAGGATAAGGAATGTTTATTGACTACATTTGCTTTAGTATTTGTGTAATATGTTGTCATGTCCAGTTTATGCCAGTTCTGTTCTTGGACTAACATGAGTGACAGAGATGAACAGGTCCTAATTGTTGTTCTGGTTAACAAAGTGTATAGCCTACAAAAAAACCAGAAATAAGATATAGAAAAATAGTCCAGCAATGCTAAGATACATTTAGAGAAAAGCTAGAAAGGGCTCTCAATGGAATAGCTGGTGTAAGCCCATCATATATCATCTATTTTTTTCTTAGGGATATTATTTCATTTGATATACCTTTTTAAAGAGAATTGTAAGGAAAACCTTTTACAGAATACTCTATTTTATTTAAGAAAAAAATCTAGAAGGCATTAGCTATTCAAAATACAGTAACAAACTCTTTAAAATATCTTCTGGCAACTTTCCATGCAGTATTCCAAGAAGATGCAAGGACCTTCTGAGAAAGAACCCCAACTTCAAAGTAGGTCTTTCTCCTTAGTCTCAATGTTAAGATTTCACACAATTGAAATTGCCTGGGAACTTTTCTCTTAATCTTCTAAAAAATACAGTATAATCTCTGACTTGACATAAATTTCCATTCTCACATTGTCATTCAACTAATAGAGAATCTTGTTTCCTGAACCATGTATTGATGGCATCATATTAACTAAATTATATTTAAATTGCTAGTAGCAGTGATTTCCAATATAACAAGACAATTATTGCATATCTGGTTTTGCTTTTCTCTGATATTAATAATTTGAAATGGACACAAATTCCATGTAGTAAAACTGAGAAACACTCTTGAAGAATTCTAATCCTGTTCTGGTTTCTTAGAAATCTTCTGTTTGCTGCAGCATTTTTTCTAAATTAAGTCACAAATATCAAAATTCTTGGTTTTAATTCAAAGCTTTCCTGGTAGCTTTCATTATGATAGAATTAGAATTCAGCCACTGCATCATAAAATTTTCTATATTCTATCATTTGAAAATGTATGTGTTCTGAAGGAGCAGGTATTTTTTAACAAATGTTCCTAGTTACTAGAATGATCTTCCAACTCAGATATTAAATAAAACACACATTCTTGAGTTTTGATGTATCATTTCTTGAATTTTTTTCTGTTTGCAACTTTTTTCATAGTTTGAATAGCTTTTTTGTCATTGTTCGTGATATTCAATTCTTAATAAAATTCTGTTCTTGATTTTTCTATTTGAAAAACACTTCATTTTGCCCTTTGACTTGTGTATGTCATTTCAACTGTGTTTTAAATCTGTTGCTCAAATGGATAAATCTAAATTACAATTCTTCATCTGAAATCTTTTAGCATCACTTTCAAGGAAGTTTCTCTATTATACTTATAAGATTTTAATTTTGGGAGGAGGGAGGCTGGCAGTACTCTAATTAATTTCTTCCTAGTAAAACTAAAACAAGAATACTGAGTTACTTGCAACATTTTTCTCTTACCATTAAAGCAGAATTTTTATTTTTTATCTTCATCCTACCTCACCTCAGTTTAAGAACTGCAAAATTAAGGATTCAGTATATTAATTTCTTCTAGACTTTTGCCATTTTAGTTGAGATTTTTAAATTGGTATTTTTGAAATACAAATTAAAAATTCCCCAGTAGAAAATCTCCTTATCTTTAGCTTTGCCATTCAATTTAGCTAAACGTCTAAGAATCACACAAGACTGCATTTGCAAGGATTTTTAATTACATCTAGAAAATTAATTTGTATGTTTGAAACTGAGTTTTATACTCTTGTGTAGAATTGGTATATTACTGGATCACTATATAATAGGCAAATTGATTTGCCAATACAGAAATTACAAACTTAATACTTCAGATTACTTTATATTACTGTCAGAATGCCATATTATTTATGTGTACAGTTTGTAATTTTTTCTCAAAGTGTGTTTTTGTACATATAAATGATATAATAGGGTAGTCAATTAATTCCTATAATTTTTTTTTGTTTGTTTATTTAATCTTTGTTTGTTTTATATGGCTGCCATCTCAAACAAGTGATTCTTGGTGGTGAACAACCATCAAATTTATTTAAACCAAATTACAAACGCAATACAAAAGAAAATGAAATATAGATAGCAGCTGAGAAAATTATAATACATGTATGCTAACATGGATGGGATTGGTTTTAAACTTTACGTGATGTTATTTTTAGAATTTATTGTTATTTGTGTGATGTTAATGCTGTTAATTGTCAGTTACATTTTTACTATTTCATGTAAACCACTTTTTCTTAGGAGCATAGTAGAATACAAATCCTAATAAATAAGCAAATAAATAGTAGAATCACTGAAGATTTATAATAGCTTTTGTAAATTAAAAAAAATACACATAAAAATAATTGTACATCAAATTTAATAGACTGTTCTTTCCTCTTTAACTAGGTACAACTAATTTTGCCAAGCCATGACTTCCAGTCACTATCAGTTTGCTCCCTGCAAATCTCATGGTACCAGTGGCATGTTAATTGGTGTAGTCTTTGCTCTCACTATGTTCAATTTTGTACAGTGCATGTTTTAGCCAAGGTTTGATGCATTTAGATATATTTAACAAAACTTGCTTGAAGTTCATCTTCTTAATCATTTGGTATATATATTGCCTTAAGTTAACCTAATCTATTGATAATGCTATTATCAGCGCTGTTTTGCTTCTAGAGCCTTTCCATTTTAGTTGCTTTCATTTCCTGCATCTTCCTGAAGCACAGATGACCAGATGCAAAGCTTTTATATTTTTATTAAGCCTTTGCATTATAACCCTGCCATTTAAAGGGTGAGAAGCAGTGGTGGGTTGCAGGCGGTACATCCCGGTACACGCGTACCGGAGCCACCGGATACTGTTCGGGTACGGTGCTCCGGAGGGCCCACCCACCTGCCCAAGCTCCTTACCATAGTTTAAAGGCTTTTGCACTTCTGCACAGGCACATGGCGCGTACAGCACCTGCACAACGCTCTGCAGAGCAGCTGGAGCATCACAGAGTGTCGTGAAGGCGCTTGAACGCATGTGCACACATCCATGAGGATATTGCCGGCCCTGTTCCAACCGTACCTGTTGGAACAGGATTTGCATCCTACCACTGATGAGAAGTAATGAGGAAAGAATATTGTTTCAAGATTCATTTGAAAGTTAAAGTATCAACAATTGAGATTATATGAAAAATCCAGTCTAAAGAGGGGATATAATGTCAATGACTACTCACTACACAGATACATGTAACCCATAAAATATTATTTCCTGAATCCTATTGCATCGGAGGGCTATTGGCCAGCTGCCTTGTTTTGAGTGGTCATTCCCTTTGCAGTAGGGAAATGCTAATAAGTTGCACACTTGGCAGCTGTGACTTTTATGAATAATATTTCACTAATAAAATAATTCAGTCTCTTGATTTGGCATAAAGGTGTTATATAGTGGAGGCTGATGTCTGACCATGGTAATTGGGACAGCTTTAGGCCTTTGGGTGCCAGTGCTATAGGCAGGATTTTCATTATGACACTTACCACTTATGGACTAGATGTATACCCTTTCTGGCTGTCCTGGAGGACAAAAGGAGGGGCATGGTAAACTGGATTCCCAAAATAATCAGTGCATCATTGTGTGACAGAGTATTACATATAGACTTGAAAGAGGCTGTGCTATGCCGTCCTTAAAACACTATTGGAACTACTGTAGGAGATAACTACAACCCTGTCTCCAGGTTTTCCATTTTAGGAAGATTATTGGAAGTGTGCTAGGGAAGCAACTTCAAAGCTCTCTTGGAGACATTGGTTATTGAATGCTTTTAGTCAAGA